GCTCACATCTCCTGAACCATAGATTCAGTCCTCCTGCCCCATAGATGAGGTCTTCCTGCCCCATAGACTCAGTCCTCCTGCCCCATAGATGGGCTCTTCCTGAACCATAGACTCAGTCCTCCTGGCATATAGAAGGGCTCCTCCTGCCCCATTGACTCAGTCCTCCTGCCCCATAGAAGGGCTCCTCCTGAACCATAGATTCAGTCCTCCTGGAACATAGATTGGCTCCTCCTGGAACATAGGTGGGCTCCTCCCATCTATGAACCCCCTCCCCCCCCATTAATTAATGAATTGCAGATTAAGAGCGGGGAGAACGCGGCCAACATCGCCATCGAGCTGGCCAGGCACACGCGAGGCCCGGTTTACGCGGGCGACGTCAGCTCTGCCGTGCGGCTGCTGGAGCAGCTGCTGGACATCCTGGATGCTCAGCTGCAGGCGCTGCGCCCCCTGGAGAGGGAGTCTGCTGGGAAGAACTACAATAAGGTCAGGGGGGAGGGGGGAGGGGGGGGGGGGGGGGGGGGGGGTCCTCCTGGAGCATTGATGTGGGCCTCCTGGGGTATAGATGGGCTCTTCTTGTACCATAGATGAGGTCCTCCTGGGGTATAGATGGGCTTTTCCTGAAGCGTAGATGAGGTCCTCCTGAACCATAGATGAGGTCCTCCTAGAGCATAGATGAGGTCCTCCTGAGATATAGATGGGCTTTTTTTGAACCATAGATGAGGTCCTCCTGGAGCATAGATGAGGTCCTTCTAGGATATAGATGGGCTCTTCCTGAACCATAGATGAGGTCCTCCTGAACCATAGATGAGGTCCTCCTGGGATATAGATGGGCTCGTCTTAAACCATAGATAAGGGCCTCCTGGAACATAGATGGGCTCCTCCTGAGCCATAGATGAGGTCCTCCTGGGATATAGATGGGCAATTCCTGAACCATAGATGAGGTCCTCCTGAACCATAGATGAGGTCCTCCTGGCATATAGATGGGCTCTTTTTGTACCATAGATGAGGTCCTCCTGGGATATAGATGGGGTCCTTTTGAAATGTAGCTGAGGTCCTCCTGGAGCATAGATGAGGTCCTCCTGGGATATAGATGGGCATTTCCTGAACCATAGATGAGGTCCTCCTGGCATATAGATGGGCTCTTTTTGTACCATAGATGAGGTCCTCCTGGAGCATAGATGAGGTCCTTCTAGGATATAGATGGGCTCGTCTTGAACCATAGATGAGGTCCTCCTGGAACATAGATGGGCTCCTCCTGAGCCATAGATTCAGTCCTCCTGGGATATAGATGAGCTCTTCCTGAACCATAGATGAGGTCCTCCTGAACCATAAATGAGGTCCTCCTGGCATATAGATGGGCTCTTTCTGAACCACAGATGAGGTCCTCCTTCCCCAGAGGTTGAGTCCACCTGCCCCATAGATTCAGTCTTCGTGCCCTATAGATTAAGCTCTCCAGCCCCATAGATGAACCATAGATGAGGTCCTCCTGGCATATAGATGGGCTTCTCCTGAACCATAGATGGGGTCCTCCTGCCCCAGAGGTTGAGTCCTCCAGCCCCATAGATTGAGTCCTCCAGCCCCACAGATTGAGTCCTCCAGCCCCACACCTTCTGTTCCCCCCCCAGATGCACAAGCGGGAGCGCACCTGTAAGGATTACATCAAGGTGAGCACAGTGGGCGGGGCCTAGGCCGGGTGGGCGGGGCCTGAGGGCAGTGGGCGGGGCTTTTCGCGAGAGCAACCAATAGAGGGGCGGAGTCTCGCCCCGAGTGGGAGGGGCTTTGCGAGCGGTGGGCGGAGCCTGTTGTGGAAGTGGTCTCGTAAGGCGTGGGGCACAACGGGTGGGCGTGGCCTGGGCAGGGTGGGCGGGGCTTGAGGGCAGCGGGGGCGTGGCTTGGGTGAAGTGGGCGGGGTGTGGGGTCAAATGGGGGTGTGGCCAAATAAAGGGGCGGAGCTTGAGCACAGTGGGTGGGGCCTGAAATAGGTGAGATCTCGCAGTGGGCGGGGCCAGGGGGCAGTGGGCGGGGCTTTGTCGTGAGGCTAGCCTATAGAAGGGCAGAATCCCGCCTTGGTGGGCGGGGCTTTGTGAGCAGTGGGCGTGATCTTATTGGGGGCAGCAAGGGGCGGGGCCTGGGCCCGGTGGGCGGGGCTTGATAGCAGTGGGGGCGTGGCTTGGATGAAGGCACGGAGTGGGCAGGGGGTGTGTCCTAACGAAGGGGCGGGGCTTGAATAAAGAGGGCGGGGCTTGCAGAAGGTGAGGCCATCGAGTGGGCGGGGCCTGAGGGAGTGGGCGGGGCTTGTCTTAGGTGCTGCCTATGGGGCGGCGCAATCTTGCCCGGGTGGGAGGGGCTTTGTGA